GAGCTACAGTTCTGGCGCCCAATCATCGGTGAGGAGGCGGAGCTTGCAGAGGGAGGTACAAACTGCCATAGGCTGTCCAGTGATCCCAAGGGTGTGGCCAGATGACAGGGGCGGCATGTCATCCCGCCCACACATCGTGTCCAGGGAAAAGAAGACTCCGGACCTGCGGACCTCTCTACCCCTCCTCCAGCTCCAGCAGGAGCCTGGTAAGACACAGCAGCCCGCTGCCTGCCCCTGTACAAAGTGTCCTTTCCGTTGGAAGGGGGGGCGGCGGCACTGCGACGTCCCCCTAAAAAGTGCCGCCCTAGGCAAATGCCTTGTTTGCCTCGCTGCAAATACGCCCTTGGTTGTAAGCCTCATTTTGGCGCCCCTCTACCTTTGCACCCGGGTACATATGTACCCCCCTGCCCCCCCTAGCTACGCCTCTGCTGGGGCCACTGTAGCAGCTGAGCTGCCGCTCCTTCCAGTGTTCCTCTCAGACTCAGTCCCTTACTGCAAGCCGGCTGGCAGCTGCGGATCACTGTGGAGTTCCTTCTCTTTCCATTCAACAGCGGAGGTGGAGTTGGACCTGCAGAGAAAGGTATTGTCTGACTCTGATGTCCCGTGTCTGTGTGAGTGTGACCCGGCCGGCCATCCATCACATGTGCAATGTGTCAGTGAGTTATGACATCATCACGATCCCACAACCTGCTCTTCCAGTGCCTGCTGATCTGTGTCAGTGTTGGTGGTGGTGTGTTGTGTCGGAACTGTGTGCGGGATCGCTCAGTTCAGCTGCCTGTTGTCACAGCGTTTTACCTCCCCCCATTGCCTGGGGAATCCCAGCCTGGGATCTGTCAGAGTGTGGATCCATCATTCTCCACTCACTGCAACTGTCATCCTGCCACTGCCAGCCACAGATAAAGTCCATCCGGGACACTGACCTTGTCTTTAATATTGGTGCTGGTGGTATCTCATGGCACACGTTTTTGCAAATTAAAAAAAAGTTTAGCAGTTTCATGTTTTGTTGAGTTAATATTTTCTACTGTTTTTTACATTTTTATTATTTAGTTATTTTTGGGGGGCGCAAGTAACTGGTCTTGCCTAGGGTGCAAAATAGTCTAGCACCGGCCCTGGGTTTATCAGAATCTGGGGAGACACTCTGGCACCTTGGGGGCTTATCAGAATCTGGAAGAGGGCACTTTGGCAAAGCATTTAGCACCCATGTTGAAAAGGACAAGGACCTCGGGGTTGTGGGGGTCTGCAGACCAGAGACTCTTTCAGAATCTGATGGACCCCCTTTAACAATAAGTTTACATAGTGCATAGTTACTTAGATAGAGCATTGAAACATCTTCAAGAGTCCAGAACCAGTCCAGTTGAATGTGACTAACTACTACTAGACATACCATGACCTGGAAAAATGAGAACCTTCACAGACATTAAAAATGCATGGAAATGCACATCAACAAGTCACAAACACGAAAAAAAACAAACAAAAAAAAAGTGCATCTTTCCTAAAATAACTCTTTGTTTTCGATGTGTATCTCCTGTAACAAAGGGAAATAATTGTCGGGACACAAACAGAAACGTCGAGTTGAAAGGAATTCCCTTGCCTATCGATAATCCCGGCGGAGTTATTTTTGGTTGAGCAGAAATCGGAGTGTAAAATATTCCCCGTCCATTCTCATGCTCCTCACGGACACGTCAGGCATTCTTCCTATGAGCACGGCTGTGACATGTGCTTTCCAGTAGCAGGGCCTGGATTCCATGCAGCGCGTGCAAGATTTAATCACACTTGTCAGGGTCGCCCCCTGGGACGGTGCCAGTCCATTTATAACGCTCAGCCTTAGAAGTCTCACAGAGGGCTGATAGTGGAAAAAGATTCCGCGGAAAGCCGCTGTCTAGGGATGATGTACAGCCGCACAAAGTATTTATTGATGAACTTGATCCATGTCAACATAATACTCTACTCATCACTCGTGTCTCTGTGATATGTGCGATGATGTCTGTCTCCGTGTATGTAGAAGACTCCTAACGTGTTTGGGGCACACATACGTGTTGTTGTGACAGCTAGAAAGCACTCAACGTTTCCCAGATGCTTCAACTCATAAGTGGATAGCATTTGGTTTGTAAAGAAATGCCCGTAGCAAAAAGAAAGAAGAAATGGCGCAGGGCATACATGACTAGGCCCAGAGTGGGGAAGGAGGAGCATAAAGGGTTAGGGCAGATCCAAGGGGTTTGTTTGGATAGTGAGGGTATTTGGTTGGTGGAAGGTTGAGAGTAGGTGGGGTTTCCTGCACCTTAGGGTGGGGGGGTTTCAGTGAGGGGGCGTTAGTTTGAGCTGGGCGTCAGGAGTAAGAGCTTCCCTCCCGCCCTCCCTGTTTTTGGTGAGTATTGGGTCCCTCCAGGTAAAGGGGGGTTATGTTGGTTCCTGGGCAGTTGTTGGTCTTTGGAGGCGGTTCTTATCTTGGAAGGTAAAAACAATGGTGTGGGACCCATCAGTGGTATGGGATGCCCGGGGACATTCCTAGTTAACCAAGGTTTAACTGGAAGGTGGTGGTGCTGCACTGCGGACGGTATGGTTGTCTCCGAGCTGGTTGGTTGCGGCTGGAGGCCTAGTGTATATGGTTGTCCACAGGTGCATTTCGGATTGTTTGGGGGTGCCTTCGAAGACCAACAACAATTCTTTGGGTTTCTGTTATAAGGAATGGTTGGTGTATTTAAATTTGTGTTGTTAATAAAAGGCCATGTTGGCCATTTACTCCAAAATTGGTGTCATGTGTTTTGTAAGTATAATTGGTTAAGGGGAAAGGGGGGTTTGTACGGAACGGTCATGGTGGTAATGGGGAGTGGACAAGCCTATCTCTGGTGCAATAGTCAAGCATTGTGTATCATCATCAGTAAACCTTTTGCATATCCCTTGTTTCTGATGATCTTTTGCAGACTCTTTGCACCCACTACCTGTCTACATGCAATAAGTTGTTTTATTTCAAATGCTGCTTTACGCATTGGCATACCTCCTTAACCTCCCTAGCGGTCTGATTGTGTCAGTTTTTCTGTGCTCAAAGCGGTACATTTTTTTTTCATGGAAATATGTCGTTTTTTTATTGTAGGCCTGTAATTCTTAGGAATAACTCACTGAAATCTGTCCGAACAAGAGTCTAGTAAACATCCCGGGGATGATAAAATTTGAAACACGAAATCATAAATTATAATTTAATAAATAATCATAAAAAAATAATAATATAATAAATAATAAATTTAATTCAATAATATAATCAAACCAAAAACACTGAAATGTGAAATATAGCGCCAAGTTCGCACATCACTGAGCAAAGTCGCAGAATCGTTTTCAGTGTCTGATGAGGAATTTCCCCCACGAATCATTATCACTCAATTCTGCAAGTGGTTCTGATTTACTATCGCTGTTCTCTAGCCGGTCTAAAACCGCTTTTGACCTAAAGGGACGCTTTTTGGACGCCATGGACGTTTCTCAGTTTCCAGGCAGAAAGAACGGTAAAAATGCAGGCAGGGCGCCGGACAAAGCACTCGGGACAAAATGTATGTGAAATGGTTTGATACAGGAATGGATTACTATCAGATTTTAGTGTATTTAGTGAATGTCACATTTTAAAATTTTTGAATTTTCCTGCCGTTCCGTCCCCCGTACGTCCCGATGTCGCAGGGAACGGAACCCGGAAGACGGATGCCGGCATCGGCCGGAGGACATGGCCAGGGATGCTGCAGGGGGGACATCGCGGGAGCGCAGGACAAGGTAAGTGATCGAGGGATCCCGGAGCAACGCTGCAGTGTATTCCCGAGTGTAGCTCGGGGTTACCGCTTGTGGTGCTGAAACTTTACCCCGAGCTGCACTCGGGAATACCGCCAGGGGGGTTAATCCCAGCCTTTTTTGGACAGTATGGCCACTTGCTGACTTGTCACCATCCGCAGCTAGGTTAACTCTTCAATAAGACACAGAAGTCGAATCCAATTTTACTTAATCTAATTGCAGTACAAAAAATTTGTTTTTCCAGTGTTTTGAGATGTAAGAAGGCAATGACTTTCCTAAGCCCGTCTCTGCGAATAACTAAAAGTGACTGAGAGAACATGGAATTAGGGAAGGTCTTGCTAGAACTAAGCTAACTAGCTGTTAGGACCTGGATCATCTGCTGGTGGCACTGTGGTTCCCTGGGCAGAGGGTTGTAGTTCCAGTGTCCACCAGCAGAGAGCAGATCCCAGTAATCAGTCTCTTCCTGATGCTGACTGCTGGAAGAGTATTTAGTCCCTCCTTTATTATTACACATTGCTTCAGAGTTTTCCCTGATGCTCCCACATGGAAGAAAAATATATTTGAAATATATTTTTAAAATATTCTTCAAAATATATTGACATATATTTGAAATTTGAAATACTACAATTTTGGGCATATTCATATTATATATATATATATATATATATATATATATATATATATATCTTCAGATTTTTTTAACATATAAAAAAGTAATTTTAACAAATATATTTACATATATTTGTAAATGCATTCCAAAAATTTAGATTAAATGTATTTTTAAAGACATACAGTGTATATGAAAATGTATTTTTAAATATATTTTCTATATTTTTTTTTATAAAAATGAATTTCAACAGTGTGTATATGTACAGTATGTGTGTGTATATGTATATATATATATTTATATATATATATATATATATATATATTTTTTTTGCATGTACTGTATAGATAGCGCTGCAATTTGTTTATTATTTACATTTTTGCCTGTTGAATGTGCTAGCTGCTTTATTATTTTGATTATTTAGATTCTAAGTGCAAGTTCTATTTACACATTTTTTAGTATATTGTATATAGTTAGTTGCTAGTTAGGCTTTCTTTTACTTAGGTAGCTCGTTAGGTATTTTGTCTTTGGGTTATGGTTGGTTCCCTTTGATCTTCATGTTTGCTGTGTTTTCTGTTAGTTGGTGTTTGGATGTGTTTTGTTTCCCTGTAAATGAACCTTAAAGTGCTTCTAAAGCAGAGGTGCCAAACTGCGGCCCTCCAGCTGTTGTGAAACTACAATCCCCATCATGCCTCCGCCGTTGGGAATCATGCTTGTAACTGTCAATCTTGCAATGCCTCATGGGACTTGTAGTTTGGCAACAGCTGGAGGGCCGCCAGTTTGACACCCGTGTTCTAAAGGCTCAAGGGTTTTTTTTATCTTCATTCATTCTATGCATGAAGGTAAAAAACCTTCCGTGTGCAGCATCACCCCCAGCCCCCACTAATACTCACCTAAGCCCCCTCTTGATCCAGCGATGTGCACTGGAGTCTCGGCTATCCCGGGACTCCCTCTTCTCATTGGTTGATACAAAAGTGGGAACCATTGGCTCCCACTACTGTCAATCACAGCCAGTGAGCCAATGAGAAGAGAGAGGGGGTGGGGCCGAGCCGCAGCTCCGCGCGTATAATGGAGACATTGAGCAACGGGGTGCCCCCGTAGAAATCTGATTGCTGTAGAGGCACCTGACAGACAGGAGGAGCCAGGAGAACCTGCAGGGGACCCGAGAAGAGAAGGATCCGGGCTGCTCTGTTGCAAAACCACTGCACACTGCAGGTAAGTAGAGAACGTTTTGTTAGTCTTTAGAATCACTTTATGTCATATATAGTCTGGACTCAGTTTCCTAAGTGTAGCTATGCAAATCTAGCCATCCATGCTGCTGATTCCTGAAACTAGCACTAAACAGGAGGGGATGACAGAGAAAGATACCAAAAACAAGCAAGCTGTAGTAGCCTAGAACCCCCACTAACTGACAGCATACTAGAGAAAAACTGATAACTTAATGCAGTTCAATACAAGACATAAAAATACCTGAAAGTGGGGCAGAACGTCAGTGGTGGCTGTATGATATATCTCAGGGAGGGCTTCCTGGAGGTGACAACAGTGAACCGTGCTGTGTCATGTGTGTTGAAACACCTAATTGTAGTCACCTTTGGAAGCCTGAATAACTGGGTGACAGCACAGGAGGACCACTGGATGACAAGTACAGAATGTAGTCACCCTTTAACAGGCAATATCTGAACAAGGACCATCATCACAGGATCACAAGTATTATTTTAATGAATGTCGTAAGTCAGTTAGCTGTGTTGCAGTGCTCATGTTCTAACAGGGCACATGCTGACAGAATTAGAGAGCAGAGTGACAGAGAGATGATCTCATTGGTCTGCTGCTTCTCCTTTTACTGTCCAGTCACAGGCTGGAGAAGGAACAAGAACCTGTAAGCGATCTTTAACTGCAGTAGTAAAGAGAGAAAAATCAGGTCCCCTACCCCACCAGGCTTAGCTGTGCTGTGCTGCAGAGCTGATTAAATCTTAGAATTGGATGGACTTAAATACGTGGGGTTGATTTACTAAAGGCAAATAGACTGTGCACTTTGTGAGAGCAGTTGCTCCAGATCTTAGTAAATGAGCAGAAGCTCTGCTGACTTTCATCCAGGGGCAGACTGACATCTCATGGGGCCCCGGGCAATAGGGATCATGGGGCCACTGTGTCCTTGCCCAAACTCAAAAAAGCCTATGAAAAAGGGACAAGGGGCATCTCATGGGGCCCCCTACTGACCCGGGCCCTCAGTTGGTGCCCGAGTTTCCAAATGGTCAGTTTACCCCTGCTGTATACCCAGTAAAGTGACTGGCCTCAGGTGATACACAGAGATGAAACCAATCCTCCCACATAAGTTGTACCTGTTTATCTGAAGTTTTCTTTTTCTCTACATCCTTTCAAAGTCCAGAATTTATAGAGCTTGTCTGAGCTGTCAGAAAAAAAAAAAAAGAGTGCTGAAATGACACACTGCAGAGCACAGTAAGGAGAGCTCTGATAGCTGATTGGAGGGAAGAGGCATCTCATGGAGCCCCCTACTGACCCCGGTCCCTCGGGCAGTGCTGAGTTTCCAAATGGTCAGTCCGCCCCTGCTTCCATCATCCAATCATTTGCAATCAAAAGTGATTTTTTTTTCAATGTTTCTTGCATGTGATCGGGTATTTCTTGCAAAGTGAACATTTACCTCATTTACAAAGCTCTGGAGCAACTGCACTTGTAACATGCACCTGCACCTTTTATGGTGCACAGTCTATTTGCCTTTAGTAAATCAACCCCATACCCTTTGGTAGGTAAAATTTCTCCCTGATTTGCACTATATTTTATCGGCGTGCTTTGCTGTTTGCCTGAAGTTCAGCTTTATTCCCAGAAGTCATACTCCTCGATGCGGCGGTGACGGCATTTGCTGTACGCGGTAAAAGGCAGACTTCAGCTTCACACTTCTGCAGAGCCTCAGCACTCGGAGGGCTCATGTACTCTACTATATTTAAATGGATTTTATTTTAAGTACATATAACCATATGGCCAGACAAATGGGTGTGCCAAGCAATGGGGTTCATTTACTAAAGCCAAACAGACTGTGCACTTTGCAAAGTGCAGTTGCTCCAGAGCTGAGTAAATGAGCAGACGCTCTGCTGACTTCCATCATCCAATCATATGCAAGCAAAAATGCCGCTTTTTAAAAAAATTTGCCTTGCATGTGATTGGGTATTCTTTGCAAAGCTTCACTTCATTTACTAAGCTCTTGAGCAACTGCACTTTGCAAAGTGCACAGTCCATTTGCCTTTAGTAAAAATCACCCCAGTGCGTTCCTGCATGCTGAGTCTCTGGAGCAACTGAAGGTGCACAGTCCATTTGCCTTTAGTAAATCAACCCCAGTGCGTTCCTGCATGCTGAGTCTCTGGAGCAACTGAAAGTGCACAGTCCATTTGCCTTAAGTAAATCAACCCCAGTGCGTTCCTGCATGCTGAGTCTCTGGAGCAACTGAAAGTGCACAGTCCATTTGCCTTAAGTAAATCAACCCCAGTGCGTTCCTGCATGCTGAGTCTCTGGAGCAACTGAAAGTGCACAGTCCATTTGCCTTAAGTAAATCAACCCCAGTGCGTTCCTGCATGCTGAGTCTCTGGAGCAACTGCAAGTGCACAGTCCATTTGCCTTTAGTAAATCAACCCCAGTGCGTTCCTGTATGCTGAGTCTCTGGAGCAACTGCAAGTGCACAGTCAATTTGCCTTTAGTAAATCAACCCCAGTGCGTTCCTGCATGCTGAGTCTCTGGAGCAACTGCAAGTGCACAGTCCATTTGCCTTTAGTAAATTAACCCCAATGCGTTCCTGCATGCTGAGTCTCTGGAGCAACTGTAAGTGCACAGTCCATTTGCCTTTAGTAAATCAACTCCAGTGCGTTCCTGCATGCTGAGTCTCTGGAGCAACTGCAAGTGCACAGTCCATTTGCCTTTAGTAAATCAACCCCAGTGCGTTCCTGCATGCTGAGTCGCTGGAGCAACTGCAAGTGCACAGTCCATTTGCCTTTAGTACATCAACCCCAGTGTGTTCCTGCATGCTGAGTCTCTGGAGCAACTGCAAGTGCACAGTCCATTTGCCTTTAGTACATCAACCCCAGTGCGTTCCTGCATGCTGAGTCTCTGGAGCAACTGCAAGTGCACAGTCCATTTGCCTTTAGTAAATCAACCCCAGTGCATTCTTGCGAGCTGAGTCTTATGATAACCCTGGTACGTGTCCACAAAGACCTGCTCAAAACAATACCATCATTGTGTAGTAACTAGGGGCGGGCTGACCATGATCCCCTATTGTCTGGGGGCCCCATGAGTTGTCAGTCCGCCCATGGTAGTAACTCAATCATTTTCCATCCCGTCCGCCTTAGCAGGTTACCGCTACCTAAGGAGACCCTGCCAGATTGCAGAACGAATCAAAAGGCCACAAGAAGAGCTGTTACATGTACCTTACCAGGGGCCCATGACTCTTACCTCTCCTCTGTTTTAGTGTTAGTTACTTCAGGATTTGACACTTCCGGGAGTGTCAGATGTCTGTGTCCCCCACCTTGTGGTTCCATACTTGTAGCATGGGGGTTGGAGGTATGAACTAAGGGCTCGTTCACACTTGGCTGTTTTGCCAACGCTTGCCAAACGCCCCTATAGCGTTTGGCAAGCGTTGGTCCGGTGTTTGCGGAGTGTTTTTAACGCTCGGCAAACGCTCCGCAAACGCCGCATGCGCGGTTTAGCGGCGGTTGCTAGGCGTTTGACGAGCGTTAATAACGCCCCACAAACGCCTATAATGCATTTGAGTGGTGTTACCGCTCCGCAAAAACACCCCGCAACCGCACCGCAAACGCCGGCCGGGGCGTTTGCGGAGTGGCACCATAGACGAGAATAGGAGGCTTCAAAGCCTCCTGACTCGACCAGAGGCGTCCGTTTTGCCGCGACGCAACGCGACGCGACGCTCCTGTTAGAACAGCACCATGTGCTGTAATGTGCAGAATTGGCAGAGGCGTTTGGGAAGCGGTAAAAAACGCTTCCCAAACGCCTCTCTGCCGCCTGCACACAAGGCTAGTGTGAACGTAGCCTTAGGCATGGTCAGGGCCACAGGTCTCTGACACTCTTTGACATATGGAGTGCCCAGGAGACTGACATGGGCTGCAGAGCTGCTTGAAATGCTCCTCAGCAGTCTAAATTGAGAACTGTGATTCAGCCAGTGTCGCTTCTGCCATGAGGTGGGACATGAATTTTGTCTCTGCACCCTCCAGCCTTGCTGCATCGTGATAGTGCAAACCCTGGGTACAGCACAGAGATGCAGAAGCTGCCATCTGAAGAGGCAATGCTGATATTAGAATTCTTACACGTGGTTTGGAATGGTCCTCTTCCAGTTGTCAAGCTGAGTCTGTTAACCTTTTGAGCTGTTACAGGTGTAGGGTGATACCTGCTTTTAACAGGTGTCGAACTCTTGGGGGTATCTGCTCTTCGAAGGTGTAGAACTGTTAGGGGTACCTTCTCTCTATATGTGCAGAACTGTTTGAGGTACCTGCTGTCCACAGGTGTAGGGCATTTGGAAATGCTGGCTCCTCATAGGTGTAGACATGTTGAAGATACCTACTATTCACAGGTGTAGAACTGTTGGGGCTAACTGGTCTTTATGGGTGTTGAACTTTTTGGGGGTACTTACTCCTCACAGAGGTAGAACTGTTGGGGTACCTTCTCACTAAATGTATAGAACTGTTTGAAGTACCTGCTCTCCCCTGTTTGTAGAACTGGTGGGGGTACCTGCTCTTCACAAGTGTTATGAAATACCTGCTCCTCACAGGTGTAGATCTGC